TTAGACTGATGGCCTTAATCTAAGTTGTCTTGTGGTTTTTGTTGTTTGACTTGCATCCCACTGGGATTTTTGCACACAGTGTTGGTGTATGGTGATTTTTCTGCAATATTTTGCTGTCTTTTCTTGGATTTTCTGTTTGCAACATAGTCACTTTAAGATCTATTCTTGTTCATGTTTTTGTTTTTTGTTTGTTGCGGTTGCACCCGATTCAAGAGCCGAATGCCTCACAGGCCTATACCTAATAAATGAACTTGAAACTTGAACTTGATCCTCTCCAAGTCACCCTCCTGCCCCACACCATGAGGCATGTTGCATTTTATCATCGCCGACCTTTGCGTTGTTATTATTGAAAATAATATTTCATCTGTGAAGGCCATTCATGCAATACAGTTGCATTTAGACGGACTAAATACATTCAAATTGCGTCATTGTTTCGTGACACATTGAGAACCTTCCCCTGTTCTGGGTGCCCCAGCTGGGATCCTGAGCTTTGGGGAAGAGGAACCACTCTGCTGCGTCTTCGTACTATTTGGTTCCACGAGACTGGGCCTCAGCCTCAGCAAAGCCTGGACACAGTGGGGTGGGAGATCTCACGGCACCATCCCCGACTGATCGACAACAAACAGCTCAACCGTTCACGTCTGCCACTCGCTGCAAGAGAAAGTGTAACAAGGAGGCTCTCAGCTCTGAAGCATAATAAGGAGACTTTGGTAAAAAGAATATAAATAAAACATTGCTCTTGTACCCACCTTACAACACAAAGCGGTAACAAGTTGTTGACGCCAACATAAAATCCTGGTAGCAAAGGGGGGTGGGGGGCTGCATTTAATTCTTAGGGACATCGTTTGCTCAATAAAGTGGTTATCCAGAAATGTGTTGCTCTGTCTGTACGGCCTCATAGCTGGTGTTTTCAAACAACAGACTATGCTGCGGTCACTAATGCTAAAGAGCTGCCTTGTGTTCCCACGGCTTAGAAATTGCATGCCAGATCCCAAGAATCCTTGTGTGTTGGCTGCTAAATCCTACACTCCAAAGCACCCGTATGCTTGGATAATCAGTGGGATTGTTTTGACTGGAGGTGACATGGTTAGAGTCACAAAAAAATAACATTTACAGCACTAACACTTCAAATCTCTCGCATTCAGCCAATACAATACACTCAATTTAATTCTTATACGCTTTTCAGTTCCATCCATCACTCGACTTATTATTGCTTAAATACACATTGGGAATGCGGTAAAAAAAACCTTTTTAAAAGTTGACATTTTTTCCTAAATCTACTTTGACAAGAGCGACGTTTTATTTTTCTTCACGACCAAGCACAGGTTGATTTGAGCGCTCGGCTGTGCCTTCATTGCCAAACTCCCCTCGCCTGCGCGCGGGGCCCACTCTCGCGCGTTCGTGGCCCTGGCGCCATCGCGTCCTCGCGGCACGGGCGTCCCAGCCCCGTCCGTCTTGATAACCGACAGAGGAAGCTCCCGCGCAAAAACAAGGGCAACGTCCCAGGTACTCGCTCACCGCTCGGGCTGACAAGAGGCGACTTTATTTGTAACTTGTAATGTTCCGCACTGCTGTGGGTCATTCAAATGTTGGCACTCAGGGGCTTTTGGACATTTCACGCATCCTCCCCCACCTCTCTCTCTCTCTCTCCACCCCCGTCCTCTCTCTCTCTCCCTCCCCGTTTTCTCTTTGTGTCGCATCTTGAACATTTGCATGCCTGAATAAATTACCAGCCGGCCTGGACACGCTGGGGATGTGCGCGCGCCACACAAAGGGGCCTCTTCAGCACCAGTGAGGCCGCACGTCTATTGTCTCCGCGATGCCCAACCGCCCCCCCCTACCCCGCCCCCATTTTTTTGCAGGAAATAAAAAAAAAGCATGAAAAATAAGAATAGGTTTTTCTCCCCTTTCTGGAAAAAAGGTTCTTCACCACCCCCCCAACCAAAAAAAAGCATTTTAAAGGAAGGGAAGAAAAAAATCTGGCAGCATAAATTCAGACAAACTGCTGTTCAGCTTGCAATATGCTCTCTATTAGAATGAAACAAGCCCACCGCCTTGAGTAAACAGCCTAATAGATCATTTATCAACGGGCACTCCACTGTAAACACAACCCCGCATCCGCATGGAGAGGCTACATCTGGTCACGGGATGCCGAATGCGCCAGCTCGCTCACTCTCCCCGCCGCCGAGCAGAGATGCCTGGGTTCAGAGCCCCGCCGCGAGCAGCCAACCTCCATGACGTTCGTGTACCCACCGCCGCCTCCGCTCACCATCTCGACTCATCATCACCACCACCGCTCAGCGTCACTTAAGCATTCACAAGCACTGCCATTCGCCACCACTCACCATCTCCACTCACCACAAATACCTCCATCAGCACCGCTGCCTCTACAATAACCACTATTAAGACAACCGCCACCACCACAACTACGACAGCCCCTATCACTTTTACCCTCATCATCATCATCACCAGCAACAAACCATCATTACGATCTTATCACAACCAGCATCACCACTACCAGCTCCACCCACTGCCACCTCTGCCATTATCACCCACACCCTTGATTTCCACCATCTCTACCATCATCAACACCACCACCACCACCACCACCCCTACCACTGTCGCCACTGCCATCATCACTGATTATGTTTCCCTGCATAGATTCCTCAAATTGATTCCAAGGGTCACTATACACGTGTGGACTTGTGCACAAGAATAACATATTTATATATATGATGTCAATTATACGCAGTTACAATGAGGTACGTGGAGCAAAAAGACTTTGAAGTTCATGCTGTTGTAACCAGGTGAGAACTCAAAAGAGACCAGGAGATTCTCATTTTCAAGAGTGACCCCGGGGGGCGGGGGTCGACACGAGCCAATAACAGAGAAGCATTAGCAAAGGAACCGATGAAAAACACCAAACTAAAACGAAGTTAATTGTGACACACAGCCACCAATTTCCCACAGCCGGTGGTGCTGACAACACTCGCGTTGTACCAATGTAGTTGCACCATCATCACGACCGCACCGCCAGCCCCTATGAAAACTTCCACCGATCCCAAAGACAAAGATCGCCCCCCCCGTTGTAGCCTTAGCAGATCGTTGGGGCAAGTGCTGTTCGCAAGCATCTATGAAGGCCGGCAGCGGTACACGTGAGGGGGTGGGTGGGTGGCCAGCACTATGCCTGACCGCCTTTGTCGACTTATTAGCGGTGTTTACTACCACACCAGGTAGTCACTTGAGGCCGAGTCAGTCTAGGGGAGGACCGGGACCGGTTCACATAACTGTCACCGGTGTTGGCCGTGAGAGGGAGTCGAACTCGGGTCGCCGTGTCCGTAGCGCGGCGCGTTAACCGCTGCACCACCACTCCCAAATCTCATCGTCACCACCACCACAACCATCACACAAATCATCACTACCCCCCCCCCCACCCCATCACCACCATCCTCTCTCCAACACTGCCAACAACCCATTCCTCCTCGCCGGCAAGCACACCACAATCACCCTCGCCACCGCTCTCCCTCGACTCCCAACCCCCAAAAGCCGGCCCCACAAACCCAACCCCATGCCAGCAATTTGCGCTGGCGCCGTGCCAGCCCCTCGCCTGCAACCCCGCGCACTGCCGTGGGGCTCATGCCCACACGGCTCCGCTGGCCCAACACCACAATGAGCCTGGGAACCCAGTGGATCCAACACAACTCCCATTCTCATTCTCACTCGCACGCTTACTCACCCGCTTGCTCGCTTACTCGTTTGCTTAATCGCTCGTTCACTCACCGACTCGCTTACTCACTCGCCCGCTTACTCACTCATTCACTCGCTAACTCAGTTACTCACTCGCTAACCCACTTGCTCGATCGCTCGCTTACTCACTCAGTCACTTACTTACTAACTCACTTGCTCACTCTCTCGCTCGCGCGCTTACTCACCCAGTTTCTCGTTCGCTCACTTGCACTGTCTTGATTTAATCTCTCACTTGCTCACTCACTCTTTCAAATACTCACTCGCACGTTAATTTTTTCTCACTCGGCTCTACGATTCTCTCAATCAAACCACTCGCTAAACCTCTCCTACTCGCTAATTTTTCTCACTCGCTCATTTCTTTCACCCTCACTTACTCAGCCTCCTCACTCAATCACTTTCTCACTCACACATTCTCCCTTCTCATTCACTAGCCCACTCTCAAAGAGTCTCTCACTGTCATTCTCTTACGCCGCGCTCACTCTCTCTCAATCTCTCCCTAGCTCACTCTTATTCTCTCCCTCACTTGCCAGTCACTCTCTTGCCATCTTACTCCCCTTGTTCACTCACGCACTCTCTCAGTTGTCTCGTTCACTGTTTTATTCACTAACTCGCTCACTGCCTCCCTCCCGTTCCCCCACTTCCTCACTCTCTCGCTCACCCACCACCTCGCGTACTCACCAGGTATTTCTTTAATATGCCCTTTCTTTTAAATTATCCTTAAACACCTCTCAAATGCATCTGTTTTGGGTGATGGAGCAACTTTAAAAAAATGTCCTGTTGACTTAGCTTAATTATTATTATGATTCTTAGCCACAGCTAAGAATAATAATATTGTTAGTAATTTAATGCAATTTGTATTCATGCCATTCTTATAGCGCAAGGCTTCTAAGACAAAGGCGCCAGTTTCACAGACACTGCGTTAGTTTCACAGCCGGAGCGATGTTGCCGTGCATAATCCCAAGTGAGTAATTTGCAGGTGATTTCTCACACGTGCCAAATTGTGAGCACGGTGCCGGCACACAATGGCCCGCGCTTTTCCCCAAACGACGTCGCGGGAACTTTGAACGTCGGATGCGAAGCAACGAATGGCAAAAAAAAAAACCGGGGAGAAAAGAGAGTGCGGTATTTTGTCCCCTTCCGCTGTTAAAATCCTCGTAAGAACCCACGTCGATCCCGCCAACGCGCACGGTTCAGGTGCCCTCCGTGGGGCTTGCCCGTGAGATTGAACGGCGGAGGCCGCGGTGGGAACGTACCGATGAGCGGCACGACGAGGATGTAGCGGCGCAGCGCGAGCAGGCACGCCAACCCCGGCAGGTGGTCCACGAAGCCGTTGGTGTCGGGCACCAGGAAGAGCGGCACGACCTCCATCTCCATGCGGCACCCCCCGCCCGAATGGTCCTCCAGCACCGCCTGCGTACGGCACACCACACCGGGGCACGCAGTATCATGCGTGCACCAAGGGCAAATCGCGCACGCGTCACACGCTCACACGCTCGCACCGCAGGTACCGCGACGACCACGAAGACGATGGCCGACGTTCATCACCAAGTGGCGGTGACGTCACCATGCCGCTCGTGCCTGGCTAGGTGCACCTTGAGGCCGTCACGTGCAGTGTCGAAGGCTCGCTTGACTGACTGGGATGATTTGGCAGATGCATCACCCCGCCACGTTTTAGCTCCCCGGCGCTCCACTCGTTGTTGTGAGCATCGCTCCTCTCCCCTCCGTTTTTGTTGGAGGGCGACTGCCTACAACTGCCCAGTAGCATCCTTCACGAGCCTCCTCCACAGAGGCCGATCTTGATACCGCTGGTACCAGTCATCGGCAAGTCCAATCAACTCCACAAACTTCTGTATCGCATAAGTCCATATCTTCTCTACCCCATGCGGCTCTATCGAGCCAAACAAAAGCTGCTTGGGCATGCCGCGGCTGGGCATGCGGGCGACATGACCCAGTCAACAGAGGGATACACACACCACCATGAAACAACACGCTACAAACATAGCACACATACCGGTACATCACAAAGCACACATCGATCATCATACATGCCAAGCACACACACACACACCACACACAGCACATGGGCATGATGGGAAAAGGCGTGTATCAAAACCAGGGTACAGGGAACGGGGGCATGGGGCAGGGGAAGATGGCACAACGATGAACCCTAAGCTCGGCTCGGAGCTGTAAACATGTTAACGTCGTTGTAAATGTGTAACGCTAAAATCATTAATATTCACTTAAAGTTTGAAGAGCAGGCGGCATCTGGCACATTGGGCGACGGTTATGGTCAGTGTCATATCAGGGATGTTAAAACACAACGATGTAGTTGTAAAAAGTGGCGACCCCTCAACTCCAGCCATTATCTCAAGAGGTTTGACAAGGAAAGCGAGACATTCTGGGCACGGTGGCACAAGTTCGACGATAACGATGACAGCGCTTTGGTTTGGTGGAGAGGGCACTGCCTCTTCTCGTGCACCCAACAGCGATCGACAAAGCCAGCAAAACCGTGGGGTCGGGCTCGTACAATCCCAGCCACCCAACCCGCGCGCCGGCTTGGCTGTTGCGCTAACGCAGACCCGCGGCAGAGGTCAGAGAACACCGTGACTCTGGGGGGGGGGGGGGGGGGGCCCTTCCGAGACGTCGGAGCGGACGAGAGGAGCGTGGGGGGCGAGCAAAGCAAGCGGACGCTCTCCCTCGAGGCACGGCGCCTCTGCATTCCTCCGCCCGATACGGTGGAGCTGAAAACGGGCCCACGAGGGGCCCCGCGGGCGAGAGACGATGCGGCGCTCCCCATCTGGATCCTGCCGCACGTGGACGCCTTCCAAGCTCAACAGCAGATTGGGGCCCGGGCGATAAGTAAATCACGTTCGAAAACATCCGACAGCGCGACCGAGCGGCACGCACCGGGGCCGTCGGGGGACGGCCGTGGCGGGGTGCAGGCCAGAGCACGGCTCACAGTGCCGCCACCGTCATCGCCGCCGCCATCGCCCCGGCGTTTCTTCGCGTTCTTGAGCGTCGACACGATTCATTCATGCTCGTTCCGGTCACGCTGCCGCGCACGCCTCGCCTGTCACGAGCGCTAACCGTCATCGAGGGGTGGTGCCACCCTAAACGATGAATCGTTACGCGACGTTGTGACCAAGCGCCACCGAGGGAGTTGGCGACGCTGCACCCAGTTAATACGAACTGAGCGTTGTAGCAGCCACTGTTGTAGCAGCCACTGTCCCATGTGCAGTCGTCAGCGTCACAACGGCATTTTAGAGTGTTCTTCATGATTGCATCCGTTGACAACTGCAACCGCTAATTATTCATCAACATCATCACCATTAGCCGACAATGAAATATAACGCCTGGCTACTTCTATTGTGACTGGAAAGCCTTAACATCCCAGTGGCCTTTCAACAGCACCTGCTGCACAGAAACACCCCGCGGGTGTGGGTGAACGCTCCAAGCGGCCACGTACAAGCGCAAAACACATTCGCGCGTCGACGAAGCAAACGGACTCTCGTGGCGACTGCCCGGTAGCTCGGCGCCTATAAACGACTTTTGAAGAAACGACGTAACTTCTTCGAACATCGCAGATCAACGATCGGCATTGTATGCTGCGACCGCGCCGGGTGGCGGGGATGCGCGGTGGTTCCAAGCGGTGCCTTCCCTCCAGAGGTCGCAAACGGGTTTTGATTCCTTACTCGTACCCGTACCCGGCCACACCAGGGTCGCAAACAGGTACCCGTACCCGATACCCGGCTGGGTACGGGTATCCGGGTATCGGGTAGGCTACGGGTATCGGGTACCCGATTGTGACCTCAGGGATGAAGCCATGTTCCAGGCGGGGGTGGGTTGATTCTAGGAACTTGAATTGTGAGAAGAGACAAGACGTTGGGAAATGAGTGACAAACGATTACTCACCAGTGACTCACGGCCTACCCGTACCCGGCCGCACCAGGGTCGCAAACGGGTACCCGTACCTGGCCGGATACGGGTAGCCGGGTATCGGGTAGGGTACGGGTATTGGGTACCCGATTTTGACCTCTGCTTCCCTCCGAGGCCAGCATTCCCTGGACTCTGCGACCCTCGTACCCAAACGGCTCCACTCGGGCCTCCGCTCGGCCACCCAGGTGGCCAGCACTAGGGATTGTGACCCGATTTGTCGAACAGTCGCAATTCGTGGGCCACGACGCAACTCAGGGTCAAGATTCAACTCAGAAACGCGCACGGTTGGTGTTGGGCCGTCGGTGAGGACGTCAAGGAGCAGGAGTGGAAGCGGCGGTGGCACGGTTGTTAGCACACCGTGCTCTGAATCCAGCCACACGAGCTTGATTGCCAGCCGCGGCTAACGTTGAGTGGAGAGTAAAAGTATGGATGCCATCGCTTCACCAACCCTCACTAACCAGCGTAGTCGATTATAATCACACAACCCCCAGGGAGGCCTTCATCCAGCCGGGCCGAAAGGTAACTTGGCACACCATGATAAATGAAAACCAGCTAATGTGAATGACAAGGCAATATCAATAATAAATACGTGTACAAAAACTAGAACTATAAAGTCACGTAGAAGGGAAATAATAAAATAATAAAAATAAAACACTAAAATTCTCACGACGTTTCAACTGCACACCTGATGACGATTGCTTGTGTTATTTCTTGCTTGTGTTATCCCTTCTACATGACTTTACCGAAAGAACCAAGAATATGAATCCCTGCAGTCACGAAAGCTTTAAATCCAGATAGAAATATAAAGTTAAAAGAAAGAAAACGAACCACCAATGATGACAAAATGTTAACTTCAAAACATCAGACAAGTGTTAAGGGCACTATATGCATGTACAGCATGGCCGACGCTTCAGCCTACCGCCCTTTAAGCCATCAAGCTGATTACCAAAGCATAGTTCTGAGAAACTGATTGAATTGGAGGGAGTAATCTTTACATTGACAGATGTTATACGAACCTGATTTAATAGCATCTGCCCACATTATTCTATCAACATAATAATTCTATTCACACAAAAGACGAGTGTGGGGGGGGTCCAAACAATGGCCCTGGCACTTAATGCGGATTTTTTAAACTCCGAGGATTATGGAGGCCACCCACCCCTCGAGGTGACCAACGTCTGAATTAAACCCCCCACGTGTGCCAGCCAAAGAGCCAGTGAACTAATGAGAGCCAGTGAGCCAGCGAGCCATAGGAGCCAGTGGAGAAGTAGAGCCGGAGTGAGCGTGCGAGCCGCAGAGCCGCTGGGACAAGAGAGCCGGTGGGCAAACGAGTCGGGAGGCCGTAGAAGCCGGAGTGAGACGGTGTAGCCCAGAGGTCGCAAATGGGTTTTGATTCCTTACCCGTACCCGGCCGCACCAGGGTCGCAAATGGGTACCCGTACCCGGCCGGGTATGGGTACCCATTTACCCTACCCGATACCCGGCTACCCGTACCCGGCTGGGTACGGGTAGCCGGGTATCGGGTAGGGTAGGGTACGGGTATCGGATACCCGGTTGCGACCTCTGGTGTAGCCGCAGGTGAGAGGGGACGTGGCTTTCAACAAAGGTCACAAATGCAGCGCCCGGTCCCGTGTCGATTCAGGAGAACCAAAAAAAATAAACAGAACCAAATGAGAGCGATTACATTCAATAAATACCCCCCCCCCCACCCCCCCCCCCCGCGCCAGCGAGAGTGACAATCCACCCAGAAAGACCTGCAACGTATTCATATTCACACAATTAGGTTGCGGATATTTTCACATCTTCGTGGAATTGGCCGACTTGAAAGCTGCCGCCGGCCAATTCGACTTGCCACGGAGCCAACGGAGAGAGGGGCGTTTCACGGAACCCTCCCCCCCCCCCCCCCCCCCGTCGAAATGCACAGCCCGGCAGAAGCTGCTGGGATTGTGGACTTTGTGCAAGCAGGCATAGTTACGAGAGTGTTAATCACCAGGTTCACACCATCCTGTGTGCGCGTACATATTCGGATGTTGTACACGCAGTATGGGTACACACGGACTTACGACACGCATGGTTGAGAAAAACGCAGTTTTGTGAATGGGGAAGTAAACTCTCGCTTCCTGCTTCACTGTGACATGACGGTGTGAGAATTCTCAAACTCGCAGTGCTTTCTTCCACTGGCAGGCCTTGCTAAGTACTGGAAAGTCCACATTCCTATGGCAAGGAGCAGCCTCTGCAAAAAAAAAGAAAACCACTGTTTACTTCCTAAAAAGTGGCACTCATTCTATTGAACCCCCCAGAGAGATAACAGAAAGAATCAACTAGTTCCGAACTTGCAGCTGATAATAAACGGGAGGAGAACAGCACTCTGCCACATCACCATCCGGCCGGTTTTTCAGTTATCACATTAACAGCGAGCGTTAGATGACTAACACGTGAAGATACAGAACAGCATCTTGACCGTGTCAAAAACA